TAACCTAACAATCTCTGCTAACATTTCAAGCATCTTTGATTTACTGCCTAATTACCAAACAGACTCATTCTGTGACATTTAACAGGAAATGGTCGTTTGTTCACAACTGGCTGCATACACTCAAATCGTTGACCCCAATGCCACTAGCTGCAGAAGCTCCAGCTTAGAAGGTGAGAGAGGAAGGGAAGGAGGAAGAGAGAGAGGAAGGGAGGGAGGGAGAGAGATAATAAAACCAGAGAGAGACAGACAAGAAGAAAGAGTCATAGAGAAAAATAAGGAGAGAGATAGAGACAGGCAAACAGAGGCACATTAAGACAGAGGCACAGAAAGACAGGCACAGAGAAGAAAAAAGATGAAGACAGAGAAGAGAGACAGACTTCTGACACAGACAGACAGAAAGACAAGCAGAATGACAGAGAGATAGGGGCTGACAAAAAGGCTAAGAGAAAACAACAGGAGAGTTGAGGTTGAGAAATTAGAGGAGCGGACAAGAGAGGAAAGATGAAGACAGGAAGACAGGAGGAAGAGGGAGACAGAGAGACAGACAGAATGTGGAGAGAAACAGTGGAGGGGGTCGGAGGAAGGGCAGAGAGGAGAGAGAACTGAGGGCCGAGTGACTGAGAAAGAGCACAGAGCCGGCCCAGCCCCCGCTCCTTACCAAAGTGAACGGGGTGTTGAGCAGCGTGATCATCAGGTCCGCGACCGCCAGGTTAACAATGAAGAGGCTAGTGGCCGAGTGCATTCGCTGATTCTTGAAGATGACATGACAGACCAGGACGTTGCCAAAGAGCGAGAAGATGATGATGAAGGAATAAGCCACGATGAGCAGGGCTTTCACCGTGGGGTTCTGGGACTCGGCCCCGTAGCGCCGCCGGCCCACAAAGTTCTGCCAGTCGGAGAAGGTGTAGTTGTTCCAGAAGAAGTGCGAGGCGTTGGGTACGGCCAGGGCCACCGCCAGGCCTGGCTCGTCCTCCCGGCCCTCGGGGCGCTCCGTGGCTCGCACCAAGGGGAGGAGGACGAGCAGCACCCAGTGCTGGACCATTCTGCAGGAGCCACGGCGCCCGGGACCCTGCCGTCCGGACGTGCCCGCAGGACTGCTGGCGGCGTGGGGAGCGGCGCTCCCGGCTACCCAGGGAGGGACCCCTGAGCCTCTCAGCGCCCCACCAAGCACCCGCTAGCCGCGGGCCTCCAGCCCACAATATGCACGGTCTGGGCTGGTGCCGCACTTATATGTCCCTGCACCTCGGGGCTGCGAGCGAGCGCCTCCGCCGATTGGGCAGCGCGGCATCTCTGGAGGCGACGGTGACGCGCTCCCGCTCAGCCAGCTCCGAGGCTGCTCTTCCACCCGCTGCGCGCTCCCACTCGAGGACAAAACTCCGGCAGGGCGACCAAGGCTGGTTCCCGAAAGCACGCTCGTCTGTTCAGGCTCAAGCCTCGTTCTCGTAAAGGGAGCAGACAAAAGCCTCCTGGGGTGTGAGTTGGGATTGTGTGGGGGCACATTGCCTGCTCCAGGGGCTCCCTGTTCAGCAACAGGGTAAATTCCACCGGTGTCTGTCTAAGCTTCAGCCCTGGCACGGTTCCAGTATTGAGGTGGATCCCTGAGTCCTGGCGGTTCCGGAATCAAGGTGAACAATGAAATAGTTGTTAGGGTTTTCCCCAGATCCCTTCATTGACCAGACTTCAGACATGCTTTTTAGGTTTTGTTTCCTTCCACTTCCTTGGACTTAATGTGGGAGGCTTTGCTTTTCAAGGAAACTCTTCAAAGCAGGAAACTCTTCTAACAGGATCAAAGAATCCAGAGATAAGTAGTTATATGCCCCCTTTTGGGCTAACAGTGAATTTTCTGCCATGGAAGGTTTTGAAGCTGTAGTCAGGGATATTACCCATGTTGCTGTTTTGTTCCCCACCTACTTTTCCAGGAAATCTTGATATCTCTTTCTTGCCCGTTTTCACTCCCAGTGTGAGGTCTCCCCTAGTCATTCCTGCGGGGCCACCCACCCACCTGATCCTGTGGAATCATGGTCGAATCCCAGCTTTATCACTTCCTAGCTGTGAAATCCTGATCACATTATTTAACCTTTCTGCCCTTGGTGAAAAGCTTTCCTTTTCCTATGTGTGGGGTTTACAGAGACCCCTGTGTGGCTCTCCCATCACATTGCTCTCTGGTGCTGGGATGCAATAATTGGTTGACTATGTCTAAATGCCCACCTCACCCCTATTCTAATGGCATACCCCATGCAGGCTCTTTCTATTGTCATTTCACCCTGCTGAGCAGTGCTGCTGGGCTGGGACTCCATTGGACGACTCAAGCCCAGGTACCTTCTAAGTGTCCACTTGGCCCTAGAGAACAGGCCCCTCCCACCAAAGTCCTCTTTTCCCACTGGGCCATGAGGGGAAGCCTCTTCCATCTCTCACTTTGGAACTTTCCCAGGAAAGTTAGACATCAGCTTTTGTACCCTCTCAAACTCCAGGGACACAGCCCAAGCTCGTCTATTAATAACCAATTAGAAAGTGGTTTAAGTGTCACCATAGTAAAATACAAGGTGCAGTTATCTAGTTGGGAGGGAGTCAGGAAAGTCTTCCCAGAGGAAGTGACACTTCAGCTCAGTCCTAAGGGACCCTCAAGAGATAGTTAGGTCATGAAGGAGGAGACAAAGGGAAGATGGAGTACTCTCTAAGGAAGGAATCATGGTACGTGCAGACATGGCATGAGTATGAGTTGGCACATTCAACGACTACATAAGTGTGTTCCGCAAGGAGATGAGTAGAGAGAGAGAGAGGCCTGGAGAGGTAGGCAGGGCCTAAACAAGAAGCCTGACCAATTTTGAAATCCTCATAAGGATTTGAACAATTTCCGGAGGGCAACAGCAACTCACAGAAGGGCTGTAAGTAAAGACTGACAAGCTCAGATTTGCATTTTATTGGGTTGTCGGAAAAGCCATGATGCATTTTTGCAACGAAAAACATAGAAGAAATATGTCATGACTTTTCCGACAACCCAATAGAAAGAACATTCTAGCAACTAAATGGATAACAGAGGAGCTGGGGCTTGAGGCGAAAGGTTTGACGGCTGTTCAAGGGATCCAGGAGCGGAGGTGAGACCAGAATCCAGGTGCTGTCAAGGGAAGGAGCGAAGTTGACAGATTAGAAGGAGGGAGGAATCAAGATGATTGGCAAGCTTTCAGTTTGAAGTCAAACACACACACACACACACACACACACACACACACACACACACACACACACACACCATGAAAGATTCTCCTTTGACCTCCGCCCTTTCTAGAGCGTTTGGCCTACCTCTCTCCATTGTTTTATCAACAAGTTCAAAAAAGTCCACTCTTGTCTCCAGTTTTTCACCTCACATTCGCTCTTTAAGCAACTGTGTCTGGGGAAGAGGATGGTGAGCAGATATCCTTCACTTTTGCTGATGGACTTGGCAGGTCCCCACAGAATTACGTGGCTGGAATAGGGGATTATGTGACTGATCCCAGGGGAAGGGACAGGGGTGCCAGGCAGATGAAAATGATAGGTACTTGGCTACAGGAAATAAACCAAGAGACCCTGTAAACTCAAGAGCTTGGGTAGACTTGATGCTCCATCAAGACGACGTGGCACCATCTGAGGGAGGCAAGGCTGGAATGTGCTGGTCGTTTGGAAAGCAGAAAGAATGTAAGGGAGAAGAGGGCTAGTCAGCATCAAGCACAGAGAAAGAAATCAAAGGGTAGTAGGCATAATCGGGACCACTTACCTAATGATTTGGCTTGGATTCCTTGCTTACTATGCCCGCGTTGTAGGTGTGAGGGCCAGGTGCCTGAAACTTTCTGAAAATGAGGTCACATTTTAGTTCTTGGCTTTCCACAGAGGCAAGTCCTGAGACAAAGATTCCAGTGTCAGGGTTTATTTGGAGGTGAAGGCAAACACTAGGCAAGTGGAAAAGTGAGACAAGGAAGGGAAAACGGCCAATAAAGAGGGTACTGTCGGGCCAGCTGCTACTGGAGCCTAATCCTGCTGGGAAAGCATACACAACAGCTATCCAAGCCAATGGATGAGGGAGCTGGGATACCTACACACCAACTCCCATCCATCACTGGTGGAAGGCTGCTCCCAGGATGTGATAATTCTGTACTTCTGGCTTGGCAAGTAGGCAGCTTAAATGGGCTCAAGAGGAAAGAGAAGGCACTCAGGCAAATAAGCACTGGTGCTGGCAGTTGGACTGGTGTGCTGAAGGGATAGGCAGTACTGACAATAACCAAGGTTAGACACAAAGTCTAGAATCACTTCCTCCTCTTCTCCAGGCGTTCGGCTCTCTGCTCAGCCAGGCCTAGGCCTCCTGCGTTCCCAGCCCAGCTCCACTGTCCCAACTTATCCTGAACTGCTGGAATAACCCAGAGCTTCATGAAACGAGATCTCTCCGCCCTCACCACCACCAACCCTACACTAAGTTATTTAAAGAAGTTCCTTTTTTAGAGGCTTCATTGGTCCTGTAGCGTTACCATTGCTATTACTAAGGAGATTTGGGAAGACACAGTTGCTTTTACAGAATGAAGCCACTCCCTCTTTTGTGCCTTCTGAATAAAGACGAGGACACTGTGTGTAGTCAGTATGTGCCAAATAGTAATTATATTTCTGTCTCTAATAATAGTCAATGTATTAAACATACCAGAGAGAAGACAGTTTAGTGTTTATCTTTCAAATGGACTTGAAACAAAAAAGAAAAACAGTAAATCACCTCACAAGTACTATAATAAAAAGTAGACGTAATAACAGAATAATATCACACAGAGGCCTTAGAAGGAGGTATTTTGGAGAGCCTCACCATATCACTATTCCTGGCACCACAAACAATTGCTCCTTTAACTCCAATATTGTTCCCTGAAAAGGCCCTGCTTGAGTTAAAAAAACTCACCATACCCACAATTCCCCTCTGGCACCAATCACAATGACAGACTGAGGGCAAGAAAGAGCAAGTAACACCACGCCAGGCACACCACCATCACTCAAAGTTTGTGTTAATGGCAAAAGTTAGATGTCATCATGCTTGAGTTACAAATTAACCACAGAAGCCTGAAATATAAAGTATGGCCGAAGCTAATCCCAAATGCAATAAAAACACAAAGCGTTTGGACAGGTTATGCTAGGAATTGGTTTCTGAGTCCGAATACACTGGAGCCATAGGTAAAAAGATATCCTTAGGGTAAGTAATAAGAAGTATGCCCAAGCTCGTTTGTGGCTCCAAAGGTTTTCGTAAATTCCGTGAACTTACTCTGCACTTTTACATAGAAAGTTTTATAAATGGTGGCATGGTTCTTAGGCCAACTCAAAACAGCCCATTTAACCCATAATGTAGGTAAATGGTAGCATTAGTTGTACCAGAGAACTGCTAGTTAAGTGCTCTAACTAGTGCTCTGAATGGTGCTCTGGGGTACCATTGTCCATCATCTGCTCCTCTTGAATTAAATGTCCCCCTGGGTGATCTCAGCCACCTCCGCTGGTTGAACCATCACTCAGCAATGACCAAGGTCTGTATCTCTACTTAACCCCTCTATTGAAAGCTCCAGATCAATATTACACATTCAACTGCTGATTGGACATTTCCACCTGGAATACCTACACACACTTAAAATTAAACAAGCTCCAAACTAAACTCTTCATATCCTATTCTTCCCTCACTTTCTAACACTTGCCCCTTTTTCATGGTTAGAATCTTGGGGTAATCTCACAGCCCCCCAATTTCATGATGCTCTGTATTTGAAGAAGCTATTTCTCTGTCTAGAATCGTCCTCTCTGCCACTCCAGGACCAGAAAAACTCTCATTGTTTAAGACCCAGCTTAAGTGTTCTCTCTCCTATGAAGACTTGCTCCTCCCTTTTACTGCCACCATCTCAGAACAAGCAAAGTCAGTGTCTCCAAATCTACTCATTTAAAAGTAACATACGATCCATTCTCTGATGTTGCACTTCCCTTGTTGTACTCTATTTGTGACTTATCTATCTTTCCCACTACACTGTCAGCTCTTTCAGGCCAGGAATGCTCTTATTCCTAATGTTACCTCCCAGAGCCTAGCACAGTACTCACCCAAGGGAAATAGCAGTACTGCGGTAGAGACATTGCACCGGGATTCAGACAACCCAGGACACAAGTCTTACTTCTTCTGAATCCTTCTCTTTCTATCTAGTAGGATCCTGAGACATATCAAGGTTTTAATCACTTAAAATTACATAACCCTCCATCTTCAAAACTCAGTGTAAAACTTACTTTCTGTGAAAGTTACTGTATTTTCTGTTTCTGTTGCTGGTTAAGCACTTTAAATGAGGATTTTTTTTTTCATTAGATCTCTGAGAAGGCAAACAGAAGATACAGTTCCACTAATGGGTAGAGCCATGGAATTAATGTCTCAAGACTTTTTCTGTAATCCTACAGGTTGAGTCAGTCTCAGTACCAGCTCTAGTTCTACGTTCTTAATTGCTATTGAGCTATTTTCCCCAGCTTCTCTTTTATTTCTGCTGTGTGCTTTGTTTCAAATCAGATCCTCAGAAAGTGAAAGAGGATAATTAAGCAGGATATTTAAGCTATTTGATTAACACTGCATCATATCGAGGGGGGAGTGATGGTTAATTGTTTTTAACAATACTAAGTAAAAACTTTGTTAAAAGATATTTCTAGAAGGCATCACTGGATCTGGAACTC